CCCCCTCCCCCTCCTCCAATACCTCCTCCAACGCCATTAACCAACGTCCCCCCTCCACTCGCACCAGGCCCCTGCGCCTGCAACGTCGGCGTAGCGGGCGCGCTCTGCCCCCACGGCTGCACGCTCTGGCTCTGGACCCACCGCTCGACGTCGGGCCGGTTCGGCTGCGCGTGCGGCTGCGCGGGCGTCGACGGCGCGGTCTCGCGCGCGGGGACGTGCTCGCGGAGCTCGCGCGGCATTATCGCTTCGAAGTCGATCAGCACGTCGAATTTGTGCGAGGTGAAGCTGGTTCGCCATTGTCAGTTTAGTTCAATGACGAACGGAAGGTGGAAGAGGGCGGGGGAAGGGTGAGAGGGAGGGAGAGGGAGAGGGAAAGCGTACCTGATCTCTTCAATCCGGATCGGCGCCACAGCACCAGCACTCGCCAACTGCGCGCTCGCGCCGGGCGGGGGCGGCGCCATCGAAAACCGCGCGCAGATCTGGCCGCGGAGCACGACGGTATATCCCGTCACATATCTACACTTTTCTTCAGCCATCTTATCCCGTGAAGATAAAGAAGTCAAGACGTACCGGTAGACCCACTGCGCCGCGCTCGTCCGCACCTCCGCATGGTGCAGCGTCGTAGGCGTCTCCTTCGCGTCGTCCAGCCCTAGCGACATCCCGCGCACGCCGGACTGGGAGGTCGCGAGGAAGAAGCGCGGGATGACGGGCGTCGTAATCTCTACACGAATGAGACTTGATTAGTATGGAGTAAGGGTAGGCAAGAGGGAAAGGAAGGACGCACCGAAGCTCTTGCACTCCGCCGTCTGGTTGTCCTTCCACAGCTGTAACCTGACGACCGCGCCGTCCGCGAACCACTCCTTCATGAAGTTGTCCCAGAACCTGAGCGTGCATCTCTACATACAATCCCCTATCAGCCACAGTACTATCAACGACCAGATAGAGAGACGCACGTTGTTCGTATGCTCCCTCAACTCGTCCGCCGTCAGACTCGTCTGCGAAACCGCCAGCGCGCCCGAGAACTGCACCAGTCGCGCGAGCGCAGCGCCGTGCCCGAAAGCAGGTTGCCTGTCAAAAGTCCCGTCAGCTTCCATTCACCCTTCCGCCGCCCGTAATCCCCGAATGAGTAAAAGCCAATCCAATCCAGGTAACGGTCGACCCAGATAGGGCGCAAGAACGAACGGGAGAAGCAACCCAATACGGAACGAGCCGGAAATTCCAGAACGAACGACACGAATAGAGCACTCACAGCCCGACTCCCCTCGCCGCCTGCTGTGGCGTCCCAGTCTGCGCCTGAGCTTGTGGTTGTTGCGGAGGTCCAGGCGCAGGCGTAGGCAGTTGACCCGTCGCCGGACGTCCAGGGCTCGCGTCTTGAGCCGTGATGGTTGTGTGCGCGCTCGAGGGCGCGGCGCTTCCTGGTCGAGATTGCTGTAGTTGTTGAGTTTGAATTGGCGGTGGCGGTTGTTGCTGCTGTTGCTGTGCTTGCTGTGGCTGCTGCTGCTGTGGCGGATGTCCGTTCATCTGCGGATGCTGCTGCTGCTGTTGCTGCTGAGCTTGCCCCGGTTGCCCAGGCTGCTGCTGCTGCGGTTGACCTTGATGTTGCCCATTCGGCGGTGGCTGCCCAGCATGCTGCTGCTGCTGCTGCCCGTGCGGCGGCGGCGGCACCCCCATACTCATATGCGTCCCCGGCCCACCCATACCCGCATGATGCCCATTCATCTGATGCTGCACATGCGGGCCCGACAGCGGATGCCTCCCATCGCCCTGCCCCGGTCCCAGCTGCCCACTCGGCGGATGCTGCAATCCATTCGGCGGTGGCGGCTGTGGCGGGCCACCGTTGCCGTTGACCATCGGCCCGTGCCCATTAACCATCTGCTGCCCCGGCTGCGGCCCGCCGATATTATTCGGGCGCGAGAACAGCACCGCGCCGGGCGGCAGACTTCCCTGAGCCTGCTGATGCGCGTGGTGCGGCAGCGCGCCCATCGGCCCCGGCGCGGCGCTCACCGGTCTTGCCGGCGGCCCCATATCGCCCGCGCCGGCCGGCGACGCCGCGCTGGGCGGGCGGCCCTGGCCCCCGTGCATAACGGAGTACTGCTGCGCGGGCGTCGGGAACCCGCCGACGCTCGTGCCCAGGCTCCCCACGCCCAGCGGCGTGCCGACCTGCACGCCCGGCCCCGCGCTGCCCGGCCGCTGATAAAACTCGGGGCCCTGGCTCAGCCGCGCCTGCCGCGGCGCGCCCATGCCCTGCTGATGCTGCACGGCACTCCCCGCCAGATTCGGCGTCGAGCCCACGCGCCGGACCGCCTGCGGATATTGCTGTTGATGTTGACTGGAATGCTGCATCGGTAGCGGCGGGGGGTGCTGATGATGCGCGCTGAGCAGCGGCGGCGGGCCCTGCAGCTGCGTCGGCGGGTGCTGCTGCTGCTGCTGTTGTTGTTGTTGCTGCTGCTGCTGCTGTCGTCGTCGAAACTCGTCGAGCTGGGCCGGGTTCAAGCCAGGCATGTTAACGCCCACGACCATCTGGCCCCCGTGCCCGTGTCCGTGTCCGTGCCCATGCACCATCTGACCCGCGTGGATCTGACCGCCGCCCATGCCCATACCCCCATTCACATTAACCTGCCCTCCAATCCCCCCTCCAACTCCCCCTCCAATCTGCCCAATCTGCCCGACCCCCATATGCATCCCCACCGGATGCCCGTGCCCGACCTGCCCCATCTGCGTAATGCTCGTCTGCTGCGGCCGTCCGTGTCCGTTCCCGAACGGCGAGCCCGCGAGCTGGTGATGGTTCATTTAAGTCTCAGTCGCAAGTCGAAGGGGGGAACGTGTCCCGAGGACGGTTGGGAGGACAGCAGCTCAGCCACGAGTTGAGCGCCGTGATGAGCGCGTTCCGCGAGGCGCGTGGGTGCACCGGGCTCTGTTGACTACCTGATCTTCCCACGCTCGGCGTACCCGCGCGTAATCGTACTCGGGAATCATCCTCCCCGGATTTCTGTGGACAGCTTCTCTTTGATCCTGTGGCGGTCCTCCCATCGCAATCCGCTCAGACCACAGCACATGAGGGCGAGCGCCGCCGCCGGCAGGCAGTGATTAGACGTGACGTGCGGCCAACGATCGACGACCCGCAGCGGCAAGGCCCAAAAAGCCTATTCCATCTGCGGTTCAATCTGCGTCGAGCGTCTGATCGCGTACTACTAGCCTTCCGGGGTAATTTGCAATCATGAAAGTGGAATTGCATGTAGGCTCAAAATGTGTATGTATGTACGTATTGCAGTAATGAATGAGGGTTCGCTTGAGTTGGGAATATGGTCGGTATACTGTACCTTGCCGAAACGAGAATCGAGAACATATGCATGGAGATGAAGATGCAGAAAATGTTGAGTCAGACCTAATAATTACGACCCGCGAAACGAAAGGAAGAAACGCGTCGAAAGCGACTCAATACAGCTCATGGCTATAATCGCACTGATCGCCGTACTTGCACCTATCAACCCCTCATCAACATCCCCTCTCCCCACATAGAACAAGAAAGCACGTACCGTCCCTGCTGATAAAACGAACACGGAATCCGGCTCCTCCCCCTCCCCTTCCCCCGCCCTCGTCCGCCCCTCCCGCGTCCCCTCCCACCCCTCTCG